AGGAGGGAAATAGTGGCCAGGAGGAGGAGGAGGAGGTGGAAAGGGAGGAGGAGGTGGAAGGGGAGGAGGAGGAGGTGGAAGGGGAGGAGGAGGAGGTTCAAGGGGAGGAGGAGGGGAGAAAAAGGGAAGTAAGTGGCCTGGAAAATCCACTGTGCTTCTATCAACTGAGAGTTGCTACTCTGGATTCGTGTTTATCCTTAAAGAGCAAAATAAAGTGTCATTTGCAAAATCTCTCCCTTTTGATTAGGGAATTTTTTTTCTATTTCTTTTTCTTTTTTCTTTCTGTTTTCTTTTTCTTTTGAGACAGTCTTGCTCTGTTGCCCAGGCTGGAGTGCAGCCGTGCAATCTCGGCTCACTGCAGCCTCTGCCGCCTGGGCTTAAGCTATTTTCCTGCCTCATTTCCTGAGTAGCTGGGACTGCAGGCGCCCACCACCATACCTGGCTAATTATTTTTTTGTATTTTTAGTAGAGACAGGGTTTTACCATGCTCGAGGCCAGGCTGGTCTCGAACTCCTGGCCTCAAGTGATTTACCCGTCTCCGTTTCCCAAAGTGTTGGGATTATAGGTGTGAGCCACCTTGCCCAGCTAGGGAATTTTTTTCTTTCAATTCACAGATTCTCTAAGGAAAATGACCACTGGCTTTGTCTTCCATCATCAGTGGATTGTGTAATAACAAGAAATTGAGGGGGTGTCAGACCTTGTGGGTGAGCCCGAGTGCCTCCACACCAAGGGGCTGTTTGCCACAGTACCTCAGGGGCTCTTTTCCCATTTTCCCAAGGTGCATGGGTTTTAGCTTAAGAACAGTGATATCTTTTTTAAAACAAAGCTTCGCTCTTGTTGCCTAGGCTGGAGTGCAATGCTGCAATCTTGGCTCACTGCAACCCCCAACTCTCAGGCTCAAGCGATTTCCCTGCCTCAGCCTCCTGAGTAGCTGGGATTACAGGCACATGCCACCATGTCCAGCTAATTTTGTATTTTTAGTAGAGAAATTTTAGTTTCACCATATCAGTCAGGCTGGTCTTGAACTCCTGACCTCAAGTGATCCACCCGCCTTGGCCTCCCAAACTGATGGAATTACAGGCATGAGACACCACTCCCGGCCAGTGATATCTTTTAATAGGCAGTTATAACTGATTTCAAGAAGGCAATTCATGTAGGTAATTAAAAGGACCTTTTTTTTGATTAGGGAGTCAAAAAAAACTTTAGAGTCTGACTCCAGGGGTTCAAATCCCTGTATTGCCACTTATTGCTTGGTAACTCTGGACACACTGATGAATTTGGCTAATTTTCCCCATTAGAAAAATGTGGGTATTAGTAGTACCTACGCTTTCCCCTCCCCCAAGACAGAGTCTTGCTCTGTCACCCAGGCTGGAATGCAATGACGTGGTCTTGGCTTACTGCAGCCTCCACTCCCAGGTTCAAGTGAGTCTCCTGCCTCAGCCTCCTAAGTAGCAGGAATTACAGGTGCCCGCCATCATGCCCAGCTAATTTTTGTATTTTTAGTAGAGACCGGGTTTATACCATGTTGTTGGCTAGGCTGGTCTTGAACTCCTGACCTCATGATCCACCTGCTTCGGTCTCCCAAAGTGCTGGGATTACGGGCGTGAGTCACAGTGCCCAGCCAGTAGTACCTAGTCTTTAGAGGTTCTTCTGAGCATTAGATGTTAGTAAAATGTCTAGAATATGGTAAGTACTCAGTAAATATTAGCTATTATCTTGACCCATTAAACTATTCAAAATAATGAGTGATACCATAATGCCCCATGCGGATTCGCTTCTTGACACTGTATTGTATCCTCATCTCTTTGTATCAGTCGTTTTTCTTATCCTTGTGTATGTCTTAAAGGCAGGGACTGGACCTTAACCACTGTTCTTTTCTTTTTTTTTGACAAGGGTTCACTCCGTCACCTAGGCTGGAGTGCAGTGGCGCAATCATGGCTCCCTGCAGCCTCGACCTCCCGGGGCTTAAGCGATCCTCCCAGCTTAGCCTCCCAAGCAGCTGGGACTACAGGCCCGGGCCACCAAGCCTGGCTAATTTTTTGTATTTTTGTATAGAGATGGAATCTCACATTGTGCTTTGTACCCACAGCACTAAGCAGTCCTAGTAGGGAGTGATTATTCCCTTTTCTGAGTAAATTCACTAGGATTTGAATAATGACTCCTGTTCTTCCACACAGCCCATGTTGCCTAGAAAAGAATGCTAGGGTTTGCAGTTCAGGCTCATATCTTTCTCAGATTCTGTTGTATTTTACATAGCATGGGTACTGGTGACAGTATTCTGGGAGTGGGTGTTCAGCCTTACTGAGAAAGGACTTGTTTCTGCATTCCTTTTAACCACACTTGGTTTTGCTCAGGTCACCACAAATGGTATCATTGCGACGAATGAACCCCCGGCCGAAGAATCCCACCCCGGGCTCTTCCCACCAACATTCGGTGCAGTCGCCCCTTTCCTGGCAGACTTGGACACGACGGATGGCCTGGGGAAGGTTTATTATCGAGAAGACTTTTCCCCCTCCGTTACTCAGCGGGCAGCAGAGTGTGTCCAGAGAGGGTTCCCGGAGATCTCTTTCCAGCCTAGTACTGTAGTGGTTGTCACTTGGGAATCCGTGGCCCCCTACCAAGGACCCAGCCGGGACCCGGACCAGGAAGGCAAGGTAAGCACTCTTCCAGGTCCACGTGCAGGGAGTCGGACACATTGTCTTTGTACACTTTGGTCTCACGCTTTGTGCTGCTTTGACATACGTCATGACGTACATCATACACCATTGATACAGACAGGAAATCCAAAGCGAAAGCTAGTAGGCGGTTATTACAGGACCCAAACCTCCAAAAGCTTATCTGCAAGGCTGTATAACTATGTTTCAAAGACAAGTAGACATAAAAAAAGCCAATTTCTGCCAAGACTGCTATGTGGCAAAAATAGGGTTGATAAATGGTATTCCCCGGCTGCTCTTACCTCAGGTGGCAGATAGTGGAAGGATAGCTTTTCTTCCCTTCCCTCCCCTCCCCTCCCCTCCCCTTCCCTTCCCTTTCTTCCTTTCTTCCTTCCTTTCTTCTTTCCTTCTTTCTTTCCTTCTTTCTTCCTTCCTTCCTTCCTTCTTTCCTTCCTTCTTTCTTCCTTTCCTTCTTTCCTTCTTTCTTTCTTTTCTTTTCTTTTCTTTTTTCTTTTCTTTTCTTTTCTTTTTCTTTCTTTTTTTTCTTTCGATGGAGTCTGCCCAGCCTGGAGTGCAGTGGTGGAGTCTCAGCTCACTGCAGCCTCTGCCTCCTGGGTTCATGCAATTCTCATGCCTCAGCCTCCCTAATAGCTGAGATTATAGGCATGGGCCACCATACTGGCTAATTTTTGTGTTTTTAGTAGAGATGGGGTTTCACCACGTTGGCCAGGCTGGTCTCAAACTCCTGACCTCAAGTGATCCACCCACCTCAGCCTCCCAAAGTGCTGGGATTACAGGCATGCACCTCTGCGCCCAGCTGGAAGGAGAGTTTCTGATTAGAGAAATTATTGATATGAAATGATAGATTAAAATAACAAAGTACTCCTGAGGGATGCAAAGATAGAAAAGTAGAGCCCAGACTTGAGTTGGGGAAGCAAGAGTCATTTGGACCCTGTGAGTGGTTCAGAACCCAAGTGTTGTCATAACCCAGGGTTGGCATCTCTGTGGGTGCAGTCTTCAGGGCTGGCTGAAGGGCTGGGCTGTGGAGCATGGGCTTGCGCTTGAAGGAAGCAGGGTATTTCAGTAGGTTGGGAACTCATTGCTAGACCTGAAGTGACTTTTTAGGATGGGTCTTGATTTTCCCTTGGAAAAAATATTTCTGTCTACCACAACTTCACTTGCATAGGATAATGAGGAAGAGAGAAACTTGAAGGGTCCCAAACCACTTCATGTAAGTGGGAGATATTTCCGGCTGGTGGTTCCTAAAGCGTGTGCCTCAAAACACCAGTCCTACAAGATAGTCCTCGAGGAAAAGGCCTTCTAGTTGGGGAAATGTTAAAACTGTCTCCCTCTTGGTGACTCACCTGGAAAAGTCCTGCAGTCAGGAAACTTGCCTAATACTGTTTTTTTTGTTTGTTTTGGGAGATAGAGTCTTGCTCTGTCGCCCAGGCTGGAGTGCAGTGGTACCATCTTGACTCACTGCAATCTCCATCTCCTGGGTTCAAGTGATTCTCTTGCCTCAGCCTCCTGAGTAGTTGGGACTAAAGGCGTGAGCCACCACTCCCGGCCTTGCCTAATATTGTTTAACTGAGCAGGCTCCAAACCTCTTCCCTTCCCTGCTCAACAAGGATGCATTACATCCCACAGAGCACACTTTGGGAAAGTCTGTTACGGGCCACATGACACATTTTGCTGGCCAGCTGTTATCTGTCTGAGTGTGAAACTTGAAAACAGCTTAAATGTTAAATGTCTCAAGTGCCTCCCTTTCACTTGGGCCATAAGCACCCAACCCCTAGTATGGAGGGGCCCTTGCTTGTCCCTTGGGCCTAATCTGTTCTACCTCTGTCTACCCTTTGCAGCCGCTGTACCAAACGCCGTGTAATCCCCTGACCTTGCCTCCGCTCTTCCCCCTCCCCACCCCGCAGTATCTGTGCAGGCTGTCCTCTGCTTGAGATGTCCTCTCTCTGACCCCACTATAGGTGGCAGCTTCCTCCTGCTTGTTCATTCAGACGGGGGCCTCCCGTGAGGCTTTGAGCAACCGCAGCCTCCTCCAACCCCACCCCTCCTGGCCTGGGACGCTCCCTCTTACAGCTCCTGCAGCACTTTGCAAATATTTCTATTGCAGAATCCAACCTCAGATTTTGCAATATTTTGTTCGCATGTAAGCCTTCCCATCTAGACTGTAGATTCTTGTGAGTGCGGGAACCACATTATTTTTTTCTTCACATCCACAGAGCTCAGGACGATGCCTGGCATGTAGGAAAGGTGTTAATATTTAAGGAATACTTGCTCTGTGCCTGTTTTTTTTTTTTTTTTTTTTTGAGACTAGAGTTTTACTCTTGTTGCCCAGGTTGGAGTGCAATGGTGTGATCTTGGCTCACTGCAACCTCCACCTCCCGGGTTCAAGCGATTCTCCTGCCTCAGCCTCCCAAGTAGCTGGGTTTCCAGGTGCCCACCACCATGCCCAGCTAATTTTGTATTTTTTTTTTAGTAGAAACAGGATTTTTGCCATGTGGGTCAGGCTGGTCTCGAGCTCCTGACCTCAGGTGATCCATCCACCTCGTCCTCCCAAAGTGCTTGAATTATAGGCATGAGCCACCACGCCTGACCAGCCTACTCTTTCAGATGTTACCTCATGTAGTCTTCCTCATTTCTGTGAAGGAGGTGGTTTTATCTCCATTTTACAGATGCAAACATCGAGGCTTCGGGAACTCAGGTATCATGCCCGAGGTCACACAGCCACTAATGAGTAGAGCAAAGATTTGGAGGCAGGTCTGTTTTCTACCACATCTCTTTTTTTTTTTTTTCTTTTCTACTGTGTGGTGCTTTGGTTCAGTAAATGTTTGTTAAACGATGAATGTGGTTGAATATGTTTAAAGGCCATGGAAACAAATTCTGTGGGTAAGAATTTCCGAAATTGCATGAGATTTTAGGCCACCATCTGGAGGTACCATCTGTACAATTTTTTGTTAACCTTAGGGCCACAGTTATGCAGAAGATATTTATTCATTAACCAGAAAATGTCATATTGGCGTAGCCTTAGGGATATTTCAGTGGAACTATCCAGGGAATCCTTGGTCCTTGCTACATAAGTAGTTCTTTTAGGATAAGGTGAGAATATTGCTGTGTCTCTACAGCTCTTTATATATCGTCTGGTGGATAACACATTTTAAGATCTATAGATATTTTCCTAAGTAACTGAATTTTAACTCATCTTCACAGAGAAACACGTTCCAGGCCGTTCTAGCCTCCTCTGATTCCAGCTCCTACGCCATTTTCCTTTATCCCGAAGATGGTCTGCAGTTCCATACTACATTCTCAAAGAAGGAAAACAACCAAGTCCCTGCTGTGGTTGCATTCAGTCAAGGTTCAGTGGGATACTTGTGGAAGAGCAATGGAGCTTATAATATATTTGCTAATGACAGAGAATCCATTGAAAATTTGGCCAAGTATGCTTTGTTTGTTCTTCAGTAGACTCTCAATAATATTTTTTAATGAGGATAATGTAATGGGTATTAAAGATAGTTACCTAAACATGTTCCTATGGATTTAAGTTTTACATATAGTTTTTATATTATTAAGTACTCTTTTTCTGATGAACTTAAGGGAATATATTCTTAGAATGAACAGTTATCCTGTTTTTTAGATATCATCCTCATTTAAAACAGTTTTTTTTTGGTGGGGGGGACAGAGTCTCACTCTGTTGCCCAGGCTGGAGTGCAGTGGCGCCATCTCGGCTCACTGCAGCCTCCGCCTCCCAGATTCAAGTGATTCTCTTGCCTCAGCTTCCAGAGTAGCTGGGATCACAGGTGCATGCCACCATGCCCAGCTAATTTTTGTATTTTAGACAAATTGATTAGATGGGGTGTCACCATGTTGGCCAGGCTGGTCTTGAACTCCCAACCTCAGGCGATCTGCCCACCTCGGCCTCCCAGAGTGCTGGTGTGAGCCACTGTGCCCAGCCTTAAAACAGTTTTTACCATTTTTTCTTTAAGTTCAGTTAGAAATAAAGGTTATTCAAACCTATCTCCTTCTTTGATCTCAAGGCTGAGAAAACCTTTTCCTTCACATTGACTAGGGGGAAAATTCTTGCAATGGAAATAGTGCTCTCAGGCTATGTTGTAGAATTTGGCAAAAGGGGGAAAAGCTCAAATTGGTTTTTGAAAGTTAAAACCTTTCCTCTCCCATTATTCTTTAAAAACCAGGAGTGAATCCCCTAAAACCACCTTTGAATTTTATATCAACAAATCTAGCTTGAGATTCCTCTGCCCTTCACTTATCAGAGTGCTAGTAAATACTTAACAACTGTTTTGTGAGGGCAGGAGGAGCCCTGATTGATAGCATTTGCCTATTTCTGTGATGGAAATACTCCTACCATGGCCAATTTCAAGTTATTAACATCATGTCACTCAATGAAGAATTCAGAAAATATGCGCCATTATATATATTCTCACCATAAAGATACAATAGATTTAATATATATAATTTCAAGAGCATGGATAGTAGTAAGAGAATTAGCATATGATGAGTTTTGGATATTTTTTCCTTTTAAAAAATATAACTTGTTTAATTAAAAGCTCATGTACTTTAATTAATTGTTAATTTAATTTAATTGTTTAGAATGGCTATGTTTGATAACTGGCTTGCAAAATTCCTAAAATTTTACCAGCTAGCTCTCACAGGCTGGTACAAATAAGCTCCCATACATCACTGTGTTTACTTGAATCCTGGGTTTTCATGACATACCCCTCAGATTTGATAATTTGCTAGAATGGCTCACATAACACAGAAAAATGCTTTCCTATTACCAGTTCGTTCTAAACGCCACAACTCAGGAACAACCAAATGGAAGAGAGAAGTAGGACGAGGTATGGGGAAGAGGGCAGGGATTCCATGTCCTCTCTGGGAAAACCACCCTTCCAGTGCCTTGATGTGTTCAACCCAGAAGCTCTCTGAACCCATGATTTCAGGATTTTTATGGTGGTTTCATTACATAGGCATGGTTGATTAAATCACTGATCATTGGTGATTGACTCAATCTCCAACCCATCTCTTCTCCCTGGAGGCAACGGAGAGAGCTGAACATTCCAACCCTCTAATCGTGCCTTGGTCTTTCTGGCCACCAGCCTCGGTCCTGAAACTGTCTAGGAGCCTCCAGCTGTCAGTTAACTCATTAGCGTACAAAAGACACTCTTATCACTCCAGAAATTCCGAGGGCTTTAGGAGCTCTTGTTTCAGAACCAGAGGACAGAGACCAAATATGTATTTTCTATTGTATCAGACTGTGCCATGGAAAGAGATAGTGGAGAACATGAATCACTTCAGTCCTAAAGCTACCGTCAGTCCTATGAGCCACCTTAGCTCGTAAGGTAGGGCATGTAACCAGCAATTAGGATGAGTAAGTTGATTTTTAAGTCCTGACAATGTCCCTGGAGCCAGCTCTGGAATGGCTGGGACTGAGCTTGTGCTGTATTGTGCCCATTTGGACACAGTCTCACCAGACAGCCCTAGACTATCTCAGCCTCGTGATGCCCCGACACGGTGGCCAGTGCTCTGTCCACTCTCCAGTCCTTGCTGCAGGTGATGGGTTGCAGACCAATGCAGATCCCCAGGGCTCCCTCTGCTTGGGTAGTGGTGGCTGTTGGTGGGTTGCTGACCTGTTTCTAAGAAGCCTGTCCTTCTTCCTAGGAGTAGCAACTCTGGGCAGCAGGGTGTCTGGGTGTTTGAGATCGGGAGTCCAGCCACCACCAGTGGCGTGGTGCCCGCGGACGTGATACTCGGAACCGAAGATGGGGCGGAGTATGATGATGAGGATGAAGATTATGTCCTGATGACCACTCGTCCAGGCCTGGAGGATGTGGGCACCACGCCCTTCCCCTACAAGGCTCTGAGAAAGGGAGGTGCTGACACATACAGTGTGCCCAGCGTTCTCTCCCCGCACCGGACAGCTACTGAAAAGCCCCTTGGACCTCCCACGGAGAGGACCAGGTCTTTCCAGTTGGCAGTGGAGACTTTTCACCAGCAGCACCCGCAGGTCCTAGATGTGGATGAAGTTGAGGAAACAGGAGTTGGTAAGACCATTTAAGCTGCAGTTGGTAACGTTCTTGGGCGTGTGGGCTCCCAGACAGGCATATTGCTGGGGAGATGTCAGCTGTGAGCATTATATGGTGGTTTGTAAGGATAAGAGCTTGGGAAAGTAGAGGCTGAACTCCCACAGCCGGGGAGCTTTGGTATTATATGCCCGATGGCTTCAGAGATGCTCATTGATCTTTTGGGATTAGGACTGTGGTTTTGGAGACTGTTGAGTGTGTCTTCTTTCAGATTTCCTAGTATTCCATTCTGTCTGTTTTAGAGAGAAAACATGCTTTAGAATTATTTTGAAAGTCAGATTTTCTTGTAATTTCTCAGACCAGAAATGTATTCATCCACCTGAAAAAACATTTTAGAAGTTCTTTGGCTGTTTATGAAGCTTATCTTTGACATTTACTTCCTCTTGGTTTTGGAATTAGAATTGTTGATTATTTTTCTTCCCAGATCCCATCAGTTTCAGAGTTGGTTTGTGGAGATTAAAAAAAGAAAAAAGGAAAAGAAAAGAAAACCACACAGTATAAGAAGATACTCATTAAAAAAAGATAGGACTGGGTGCAGTGGCTCACGCCTGTAATCCCAGCACTTTGGGAGACCAGGGCAGGCGGATCACAAGGTCAAGAGATCAAGATCATCCTGGCCAACATGGTGAAACCCCATCTCTACTAAAAATACAGAAATTGGCTAGGCGTAATGCACACGCCTGTGGTCCCAGCTACTCTGGAGACTGAGGCAGTAGAATTGCTTGAACCTGGGAGGCGGAGGTAGCAGTGAGCTGAGATTGTGCCACTGCACTCCAGCCTGGCAACAGAGCAAGACTACTTCTCAAAACAAAAAAAAAGTTTTACAGTACACTTTCTGGTCAACTATTTTTAAGGGAAAACAGAACTCCTGGATGCTTTCGTTTGTCTTATAAAAGATGTTCCGGCTGGGTGTGGTGGCTCATTTCTGTGATTCCAGCAATTTGGGAGGCCAAGGTGGGTGGATCACCTGAGGTCAGGAGTTCGAGACCTTCCTGGCCAACATGGAGAAATCCCGTCTCTACTAAAAATACAAAAAATTAGCCGAGCGTGGTGGCGCAAGCCTGTAATTCCAGCTACTCAGGAGGCTGAGGCAGGAGAATCGCTTGAACCTGGGAGACGGGAGGTTGCAGTGAGCTGAGATCGCATCACTACACTCCAGCCTCCTAGATTTGCACCCAGAATGCATCTAAAACAGATGTTTTTCTGTCCCTCTGCCAGTTATTTCCCTGTGTTTATGAGAAAGATCAGTCTTCTGTGGCCAGTAGTGCATTCCTGATGTTATCTGAATAGTTCACATATACACAGGCTATAATGACCCCCTGAGTGGAGGTCATTACGGCCTGCTGGAGTTTAAGCAATCAGTAGCATCATGTGTTCAGTTCAGGGCTCAAGCGTTCTCCGCTCCAAACGCTGTCTTTATAAAGCCAGAAATTCCCTTCCCAGTATGTAGGACTCAGAGTCTACCTGGGCTCAAACTCTGCTTTTATCTTCACTCATAACAGTCAATCATAAATAGGATCATTATCCTCTCTAAAAGTTCACCCCTCTTGTGCTTTTGAAGTTCATTCCAAATTAATTTGCCCTGGATTATTAAATATAATGAGCTAGTTCATGATTCTAATAAAATGAACTTGAAAGGTGGAAATTCAAAATAGGGAGACATTCTTTTTTTTTTTTTTTTTGAGACGGAGTTTCGCTCTTGTTACCCAGGCTGGAGTGCAATGGCGCGATCTCGGCTCACCGCCACCTCCGCCTCCCGGGTTCAGGCAATTCTCCTGCCCCAGCCTCCCCAGCAGCTGGGATTACAGGCACACGCCACCATGCCCAGCTAATTTTTTGTATTTTTAGTAGAGACGGGGTTTCACCATGTTGACCAGGATGGTCTCGATCTCTTGACCTTGTGATCCACCCGCCTCGGCCTCCCAAAGTGCTGGGATTACAGGCTTGAGCCACCGCGCCCGGCCTAGGGAGACATTCTTTTTGTTTCTCGGGTCAAAGTCTATTTAGTCCAGGTGGGAAGAGGGCATTATTTTTGTTCAGCTTTTGAGTATAAGTGTTTCCAAATTGTTCCTTGGGGAAAATGTATGTTGGGGGTGGTGATTTAAAATTAAAAAAAAATATAAGGCAGGCGCAATTGCACCCACCTGTAGTCCCAGCTACTCGGGAGGCTGAGGAAGGAGAATACAATATATGTATATATTTTAAGGTTGTTAAAATGGCAAATTTTATGTTATATATATTTTACTACAATAAAAAAGTTAAAAAAATTATATAATTATACATACTATATATTATATTTGCTACTACATATATATAAATGTATTTTATCTATTATAATGTAATATACAACATATGTATAATATACATATACATACATATTCATATATGTATATTATATTTATGATGTAACACGTTTTCTATTTTATATCTATTACATATATGTAATATATTTATATTTTATATATTACATAGATAACATATATGTTTATGTATGTATACATATATATGTATAGTAAGAGTCCCCGCAAATGTGAAGCTCATTCTTCTCACTACTGTAGATGAACACCATCCTAAGATTGCTATTGGATCGCACTAATCTAATATTGACTCAGTGATGCCAAGTACACTGGATTCCAGCAGTTTTCTGTCTTTTCTTTATTTTTCTTTTTTTTTTTGAGATGGAATCTTGCTCTATAGCCCAGACTGGAATGCAGTGGCGTGATCTCAGCTCACTGCAACCTCTGCCTCCCAGGTCCTGGTTCAAGCAATTCTCCTGCCTCAGCCTTCCAAGTAGCTGGGAATACAGGCATGCGCCACCATGGCCAGCTAATTTTTGTATTTTTAGTAGAGACAGGGTTTCACCATGTTCACCAGTCGGGCCTTGAACTCTAGTCCTTGTGATCGGCCGCCTCAGCCTCCCAAAGTGCTGGGATTATGGCGTGAGCCACCACACCCAGCTGCAGTTTTCAATAATTAATAATCACGTTTTGATTTCTAAACTCCTTTTAGATCTGTTTGCCTCAGTGATGTGAGTTCGGGAGCCACATTACATTTTTAAAAAATCTTTTTGAGACAGGGTCTGGCTCTGTTGCCCAGGCTGGAGTGCCGTGGTACAATCACAGCTAGCTCACGGCAGCCTCAACCACCCAGGCTCAAGCGATCCTCCCACCTCAGCCTCCTCTAGTAGGCGGGACTACAGGTACATGCTACCATGCTCGGCTAATTTTTGTATTTTTTGTAAAGATGGGGTTTTACCTTGTTGCCCAGGCTCACATAACTATTTAAGTAGCTACCTGCCATGGATTTTAATCTTCTGTAGTAAGCCTGGTCTCTTGAATTGCCCATGCAGCTGTGCGTCCCTGCAGTGCTTGAGGGCCCACTGGACTAGAGCTGTGTGAAATTCTTACAAGTGTTCAATTGTTTTCTTGGACCAGTTTTTAGCTATAACACGGATTCCCGCCAGACATGCGCCAACAACAGACACCAGTGCTCGGTGCACGCAGAGTGCAGGGACTACGCCACGGGCTTCTGCTGCAGCTGTGTCGCTGGCTATATGGGCAATGGAAGGCAATGTGTTGCGGAAGGTAATTTGCTTTTCTATGTCCATTTCATGCGGGAGAAGGAGGAGTGGAGTTTTTGTTTTGGTGCTTCTTTTCCATGTTGCCTTTACCCACATCTCCGGAGGTGTGGCGTGTTTTTCTTACGGCAGCGATGCGTGGTGTCTCTTTCCTCATTCTTTCTCCTATTCTCTACAGGCATCCCTTGGGGAGGCCCATTTCTCTAATATGGCAAAGTCTTTCTTTCCTGTGCTGTTTCTCCATCTCAGGGGACAGCCCATCTTCACAACTACCTTGAGTGTGGCCGCAAAGGCCTTTGTGTTAAAATTATGCCCCTCACTTTCCTCCTTTTCTTTGAAGCCTCTTTCATGTCTTTTTTTCTTAGAGTCTCTCTAATTTTATGTGGTGTTGCTCACAGACCTATCATTGTTTTTGACACAGAGTCTCACTCTGTTCCCAGGCTGGAGTATAGTGGCATGACCTTGGCTCACTGCAACCTTCATCTCTCAGGTTAAAGTGATTCTCCTGCTTCAGCCTCCCAGGTAGCTGGGGTTACAAGCATGCACCACCACACCCAGCTAATTTTTGTATTTTTAGTAGAGATGGGGTTTCGCTATGTTGGCCAGACTGGTCTCGAACTCCTGACCTCAGGTGGTCTGCCTGCCTCGGCCTCCCAAAGTGCTGGAGTTACAGATATGAGCCACCGTGCCTGGCCAAACCTATAATAATGATTGTCAAGCCCCAGCAGGGCCACAGAAGGCTGGCAAAGTCTGTGGCAGTTAAAGTTTATTTCATCATTCTCTCCCTCCTGTGTCTCTTTCCTGGTGCTCCTGAAGTCATAGCATGGTTATGATTGAGCATCAGGGGTGTGCCACTGTGAATGCTGGGGTGCCAATCCCATTGCGTGGCCAACACCAAAATGGATTCAGTGACGGGCCAACGTCCATTCTAAATTCTGCCCTCAAAAGGATCAACTGATTTGGATGCTTGCAGATGGTCAGGAGAATCCTTTCTGTGCAAGTCTGGGGATCCTGGTAACATTCATTCAAAAATTCCAGAATTAAAGTAAAAATGGTGAAAACCCCACCATGTTAAATGTTTGTCCCTTCAGATGCTGTCTTAGTCACTTCTCTGTTGCTTATAACAGAATTCCTGAAACTGAGTAATTCATAAAGAAAAAGAATTTATTTCTTATAGTTTTATGGAGGCTGAGAAGTCCGAGATCAAGGAGCTGTATCTGGTGATGGGCTTCTTTCTGGTAGGGCCTCTCTGCAGAGGTGGCACAGGGGGCTGGGCATGCTAGCTCAGGTCTCTCTTCCTCTTCCTGTAAAGCCATCAGTCCTGGGGCCAGGCACGGTGGATCTTGCCTGTAATCCCAGCAGCTTTGGGAGGCTGAGACAGGCGGATCACAAGGTCAAGAGATTGAGACCAGCCTGGCCAACATGGTGAAAACCCGTCTCTACTAAAAATACAAAAATTAGCTGGGTGTGGTGGCACACGCCTGTAGTCTCAGCTATTTGGGAGGCTGAGGCAGGAGAATCACTTGAACCTGGAGATGGACATTGCAATGAGCTGAGATTGCGCCACTGCACTCCAGCCTGGTGACAGAGCAAGACTCCGTCTTAAAAAAATAAAAAAAACCATCAGTTCCATTCCTGTATAACCCATTAATCCATTAATCCATGACCGGATTAATTCGTTCTTCAGGGCAGAGCCCTCGTGACCCAATCACCTCTTAATTAAAGGCCCCATTTCCAAATGCTACCACATTGGGAATTAAGTTTCAATATGAGTTTTGGAAGGGACATTCAAGCCATAGCAGATGCCAACAAATTGTCTCACTTGTCATGGGTCATTTTCCTTGTGTGTGGTTTTTTGTTTTTTTTTTTTTTTGAGACGGAGTTTCACTCATGTTACCCAGGCTGGAGTGCAATGGCGCGATCTCGGCTCACCGCAACCTCCGCCTCCTGGGTTCAGGCAATTCTCCTGCCTCAGCCTCCTGAGTAGCTGGGATTACAGGCACACGCTACCATGCCCAGCTAATGTTTTGTATTTTTAATAGAGACGGGGTTTCACCATGTTGACCAGGATGGTCTTGATCTCTTGGCCTCGTGATCCACCCGCCTCGGCCTCCTAAAGTGCTGGGATTACAGGCTTGAGCCACCGCGCCCGGCCTTCCTTGTGTGTTTAATGTAGAACTTCAATTGCTTTGCAAAATTTGACTAAATAAAACTCAGCTGGAAGAATGGTTTTTCAGACCCCTTGCCTGCCATAGTCACAGTTAAATCCATTATCATTTTAAATTGCTAAAAACAAAAAATCATTTCCTTCTGTGTCACCATTAGATAAAGTGAGGTTTAAAAAAATACCACCTTCAGCAGTGAAAGAAAATTGAGCATGCTTTACTTACTAATTTTGGGAGATGTTATTAACTTCTCCAGAGTGTGTTCTCTTTTCTTCCAAATTCCATCACCCCACGGGCGGTGTGCCCTTGCTTCTTTGTTTCAGGCTTGGCTTTTATACCTTCCCCACCCCAGGAGAAGCTTCCAAAATTCACAATAAAAGCTTATGTTTAACGAGCAACCTCATTAGCCCTTTTTACCCCAAATATCCGAGCTTGCAATGCTGAACAGTTTGTGTTTAGCAGCAAGCTCAGATATGACCAACTGTTCAGCCACATATTTTGACATTATATATACACCCTGGAATTGATTTGTGGTTTAAATATTTGTTGGATTCTTGCTACTTAAAAAAAATGTTTCTAGTTCAAGGATTGGTGGGAACACTTTTGTTTGTTTTCTTAACTTGGCTTTCTTGCTTGTTTCTCTAATATTCTTGGGATGCCTTTCTGCGCTGTTGGCCAGCTAACTTCACAGCATTCCCCAGTGAAATGACACAACGTGTGTGCAGAATGACTCTGTGTTGGATATGCCCTGGCTGATCAGAGAACCTGTTGAGCAGTTTGGGCATATGGAATGCAGCAAAAGGTCATTAGAATGAAGCTGACCCCCAGGTGCCAGTCCCTGCCTAGGCTTTTCAACAACATTCACAGAGAACTGACTACGTAAAGAAAACCCTGCATAAAGAGAAAACCCTACGTAAAGAGAACCTGTGAGGGGCTGGGTGTGAAAGTCCTGATCCTATGATTACCATAATCTAGGAACAGAAATAAGATATGTGCAGTCAGTAACTGAAAGAAATGCCACATCAAACCTGAACAATGCAACATGAACTTTGTTTTCCCTCTTCCTTCAGTTTTGTTTTTCTGAGCTATGATTCACATACTTTTTAAAGTATACAATTTGGTGGGTTTTAATATGTTCACAAAGTTGTCCAACTATTATCTCTAATTCTAGAACATTTTAATCACCCCCCCAAAAACACTGTATCCACTAGCAGCCAGTCTTGATTTCTCCAAATCCCCCCAACCCCTGTCAAGCCCTCACCTACTTTCTGTCTTTATGGGTCTTCCCATTCTGGACGTTTCATATAAATAGAATCGTACAATACATGACCTTTTGTATCTGACTGCTTTCCCTAAGCATGATGATTTCAAGGTTCTTGCAAGTTTTAGCACATATCAGTATTTCATGCCTTTTTCTTTTAATTAAATTAAATTAATTTAATTTATTTATTTATTTCGGGACAGAGTTTCACTCTTGTTGCCCAGGCTGGAGTGCAGTGGCACCGTCTCAGCTCACTGCAACCACTGCCTCCCGGGTTCAAGCAGTTCTCCTGCCTCAGCCTCCTGAGTAGCTGGGATTACAGGCGCCCACCACCATACCCAGCTAATTTTTTAAATTTTAGTAGAGACTGGGTTTCATCATTTTGGCCAGGCTGGTCTCGAACTCCTAACCTCAGATGATCTACCCGCCTTGGACTCCCAAAGTGCTGGGATTACAGATGTGAGCCACCGCACCCAGCCTCATGCCTTTTTCTAGCCAAATAATACCCTAATGGATGGCTGTACCATATTTTGTTTATCAGTTAATGGACATTTGGGTTGTTTCCCTTTTGGCTCTGATGAATAATGCTGCTAAGAACATTTGTGTACACATTTTTGTGTGGACATACGTGTTCCTTTCTCTTGGCTGTATACCTAGGAATTAGAATTGCTGGGTCATACAGTAATCTTCAATTTTCTTATTTGAATACAACAAAGAGCAACATAATTTCTCTAGTTATAATTTTTTTTCCTGTTTAAACAATAATAACTATATGCAAATTATAAATACTCAAACAGGGCCGGGCGCGGTGGCTCAAGCCTGTAATCCCAGCACTTTGGGAGGCCGAGGCGGGTGGATCACGAGGTCAAGAGATCGAGACCATCCTGGTCAACATGGTGAAACCCCGTCTCTACTAAAAATAC